TATTATTATTATTTTTTGTACAGATAGAGTGGGAGGGAGAGAGAGGGAGAGAGAGAGAGAGAGAAACATCGACGTGAAAGGGACACATTGAGTGGCTGCCACCCGCACGACCAACCAGGGCCGGGGACAAACTGCAACTGAAGTACGCGCCCTTAGCGGGAACCGAACCCGGGTCTCTCCAGACTGCAGGCCAACGCTCTAACCGCTGAGCCAAACTGGCCAGGGCTGCGTCACCTATTATTTATTCCTATATTTTAGTATTATTTAATGCATTAGTCATTATTAGAAAACAGTATTATTTTATGTTATTGTCCAATAATAATATCAATTCAATTCTGGTACACTAAGATACCAATAAACTTATATGTGTGTATAAGTAAAAATCTTAAAACATCAAAACAGTTTTCAAAAGTTATTTGAATAATTTTTATGGCTAGTAATACTGACATTTAGATGAGCTAATTTTTTTTTTTTAAATTCTCACCTGAGGACATTTTTGCATTTATCTTCAGATAGAGCAGGAGGGAGAGAGGGAGGAAGAGAGAGAGAGAAACAATGATGTGAGAGAGACACATCAAGTATTTGCCACCCGACTCTCCGGTCTGCAGGCTGATGCTCTAACCACTGACCCAACCTGGCCAGGGCTAGATGAGCTGGTTTTTAGCAGTTTGTTAAAATATCTCCTAAAATGAATTCATGATATTAACGTCAAAGCAAATTTCTATTATCTAAAACACTAATATTATTTTAGTTTAGGCACTTCTTCATTTAGAGCTATTCTTACTTTTACTATCTAACATTTATTGAGTTTCATGCTATTCAGAATGGTAATTGTTCAAATGCATTACCTCAAATAATCTTTAACAGTCTTGTTTAATAGGCTCTGACCTGCTTGTGAAGAAGATACTATTATTTCCATTCTACTGATGAAGAAACCGAAGTTTATTTAGATTAAGTAACCTAGTGTTTCAATTAAAACTAACATCTACGTGTTTGGCTGTTAAGTGGTGTTGGGCTGGTACAATCATAGAGTCTTGCCACACATTACAAGGCAAATTATAAGTTAATAACTTGTAAGCGAATGTTTTAATTATTCCTTAAGAAAGAACTCAAGTACTCACATCTATTAGTAACAATAAATTTAGCAATACAAAATCTGGATGAGGAATGCTATGGAGTATAGAATTTCTGTAGTACAATTTTACAGTTATGCTCTCTTTTATGTTTTTATTTTCTTATGTTACTATTTATTAGAATTGCTAATTAAATTTTACTTTGTAAAATCCAGTATAAATACACAAACCTTGGGGAATGTTTATATTCAGTTGTGCCTTTCATTTATTTCCTAACCCACAAAAGGAGCAGTGGTACAAACTCCACAGCTATACAGAATGGTTCTAGTTAGTGTCAGTAAGTTTTTCTCACATAAGAACTATACACTATATTTGATTTTGTAGTTTTATTAATCAAGTACATATTTCTATGATCTATAAGTAACTTATAGTTGTTGCTCTGTACCCTTAGAAACAAGATCATAAAACCTGACTTATAAAAACATTTTTCTTTCACTGATTCTAATAACAGACAATATATGAACTATCCATTCCCAGATCTCTTTACCATACTAATAACAACATTTAAGGTAGAATCCTGAAACGGCTAAAACAGGACTCAAATTAAGTAGCTATATTCAATTATTAAATCTGTCCAGTGTTCATATCAAATGTTTTAAGAGCAGGATGGAGGATATGGGTGATAGGAATGAAGATAAAAGATAGATTTAAAAAGCTAGGGTTAAGTTTACAATGTCAAGTTATTTCAGGCTTGAAACTATCAGTCACCAAATATATGGGTTTGATTATCAGCTTACCATACAATATCTGACCTACTATATAATATCTGACCTGCTTTTGTGTGTGTGTGTGTGTATTTTAAATCCTCACCCAAGGATATTTTTCCATTTATTTTCAGAGTGGGAGGGAGGGAGAGGGAGAGGGAGGGGGGGGGAGAGAGAGAGAGAGAGAAACATCAATGTGAGAGAGACATATCGACTGGTTGACTCTTGCACGATCCCAACCAGGGCTGGGGACCAAACCGCAACTGAGGTATGTGCCCTTTACTGGAACTGAACCTGCAACTCTTTGGTGCATGGGCTGACAATCTAACTGCTGAGCCAAATCAGTCAGGGTTTTGACCTGCTTTTGGATACTGAAAACAGTATTGAAAATGTCACTCACTGACTCAATGGATTTATACCAAATACCTACTAGGAAGCACTACAGTAAACACAGGGGGTATATATGGAGGGTGGAAAAAGATTGTCATGGCAGATCATATTTAAGGAAAAAAGAATAAGATACATAAAAATGACTCACATCAGATAAACTATAATGGATATAATAAAAGAGGTTCATATATAATGTTAATATGAATTCTGAGATAATATTAGAAATCTTGGGATGTGGGACACAAAGAAGTGGAATCAATCAAAGATGACATGGAGGTGTTTCAAACCAAGTAATTTAGAAGACAAAGTACCATTTAAAAAAAGATGAAAAAAGAGGATGCAAAAAAAAAAAAAAAGACAGTATGTTCAGTATTGAACATATTTAGTTTGATATTTAAGTAGAGATGTCCAGCAGCCAATGAGGATTGGAATTCATCGATGAAATAAGCCCTGGAGATAGAAGATTTGGGATATGACTTCCTCTCTCTCTCTCTCTCTCCTCCCTCCTTTCCTTCCTCCCCTTCTTTCCCTCCCTGTCTCCCTTCCTTCCTTCCTGCCTTCTATATGACTAAGTGCTAAAAAAACAGAAATCACTGATTTTTTTTTAGAAAATAAATAAATAAATAAATAAAAAATAAGATTTGGGGTATGAAGGCATATATACTAGGTATACTCTGAGAGCAGAAGAACATTAAATCAGATGAAGATAATTAGTTCTAAAAAGATGGGTAAACCTATCAGGAGAAATGGCAGTAGAAAAAGCATGGATGAATGCAAGGAAGCATAAACATGTGTGGTATGACTAAAGCAAAGGGTGTGTATGTGCGAAGAATAGGATATGAAGCAAGTAAAAGAATCAGGGGCCAGATTATAAAGGATCTGATGCCCTAAGCCACAAAATCTAAACTTCATTTTAAAAGCTACAAGGTATTCTGAAAGATTTTCAAACAGGAGCAATATAGTCTAATTAAATTTTTTTTTTATTCCTCACCTGAGGATATTTTTCCATTTATCATCAGACAGAGTGAGAGGGAAGGAGAGAGACAGAGACAGAGAAACATTGATGTGATAGAGCCACATCGATCGGTTGCCTCCCACACGACCCAACCAGGGCCGGGGATAAACTGCAACTGAGGTACGTGTCCTTGACTGGAATTGAACCTGCAATTCATTGGTCTGTGGGCCGACGCTCTAACCGCTAAGCCATACCGGCCAGGGCTCTAATTTAATTTTTAGAAGATCATTTCATATCATAAGGAAGTGAGACTGGAGAGAAGGGGGTATACAAGAGGCAGGATAACCAGTTTGGAGGCCATAGCAATAATCTATGCAAAATGATGAAGGCTGAACTAGAGCAGTGGCAAAGAAAAGAAAGAGAAGCCTCCATTAGCTACTAAGAAAGCTGAATGTTTCAGGGCTTGTTAACTCCATGGATGTGAGGGGAGAGTGAGAAAGAGTATGGAACAAAGAGTATGAAACAACTTCTAAGTTTCTGGCTGTGTAAATGACGATGGTGCCATTCCTGGAGTTGTAAAATCCAGAGAATTAAGTAGAAAGAGGAGGTGTCTGAAAACATTTGAGGCACCCATGTGACATATAAGTGAATATATTCAGTAGGTGGCTGGATATGTAGGTCTAGAGCACAGCATAGAGGACTGAGCTTTTAGAGATACATATCTGAGGAATACTAATGGTGAAGATGGATATGAAATGATGCTATCAAAGAAGACTGTACAGAATGAGAAGAGCACAGACAGGCTGGACACCAAGGAAAACACCTATGTTTAAGGGGAAAGGGAAGAAAAGAAGCCCGTGTAGGAAGCAGAGGGCCAAGATGAATGAAAACCAATACAGGCTGATGTTATAGAACTGGAGGGAGGAAAGTATTTCAAGGAGGGAAAGTATTTCAATACATTAATTTATGTATTGTCTATGGCTATTTTTGTGATACGATGGTATTGCTGAGTAGTTGCAACACAAATCAGATTGCCCACAAAACCAAAATATTTACTATCTGGCCCTTCAGAGAAAAAGTTTGCCAACCTCTGTTCAACAGAGAGGAGTGGGGAGATGGGGGTGAAGAGGGGTAATATCTAGGTTTCAGTTATGTCTTCACTTTCAGAAGGGAGAGAAGATAACATTCTATGAAGAAGATAAAGATGAGGGCAGTCTATTCACCTCAAATGGAGATTTCAAAGGACTCTGGAAAGAATGTACTGGGAAGACATTAGTGTGAGGATGAGTCAGAGAGATGTGGTAAGGTCAGAGGTAAGGTCATTTACAGAATGAGAAATGCAGAAAAGTAGTTGGGGACCTCAGGCTGTAAAAGCTTAGAAAATATATGCAAGATGGGGAATACATTTAATAATCAACTATTAACAGATGAATAACAAGACCTGTTAGTGGTGAGAATGTGAAGAAGAAATAACTATTAATAGTAACTACTGACATTTTCCAGAAATGTTTTGACAGCCTCAGAATAGGAAAGTAGAATATTATGTGTCAGCTTATATCAAGGATTGAAGGTTGGGGTAGGTATAGCTAGAGGGATAGGACGACTAGCATATGCAGAGGCCTATTTCAAAATCTGACTAAGATAAATACAATCATGTGAAAAAATTAAACCATGCTATCAATTGCTTATACTGAAAAATTACAATTGACTAATACTTTTTAATTACCAGAAAGACATGTATAGATAATTTACTTGCTAAAGGCTTATTTTAAAAAAACTTGCAAGTGAATGTTTTAAAAACTGTTACTATATACTTACCTGCTTTATTACTAAGCTTGTATAAGAAAGTTTGGCGAGGGTCTGAATGATCTCGACATGTCAATTGCAAAAGAGAACCTGATTTTTTCCATTTCTGCATAAACCACAGACCTAGAGAGTTATAAATGATATGTGAGTATAACTGGAAATATATGGTAACATATACCAAGGTTATTAATTTTAATATATATTTTGTTTAAAAAAAAGACATCTTCCAAATTAGCATTTTGTTGGCTAATACATTTATTTATAACTTTTTTTTTCTTTATTGATTTCAGAGAAAGAGGAAGGGAGGAGAGAAACACTGATGAGAAAGAACATCGATTGACCACCTCCTACACACCCCCTACTGGGGATCAGGCCCACAACCTGGGCATGTGCCCTGACCAGGAATCGAACTGGCGACTTCTTGGTGCATGGGTTGACGCTCAACCACTGAGCCACACTGGCCAGGCCTAATTAAAACATTTACAAAATATTTCCATTTTGTGATAAAATATAAATAATACACATATACATATAGGTTAACTACGGGTTAATGGTGGTTAAAAGAGGGCTTGCTATTTCTTTCTCAATCAGTAATAAAATAGATAATGGTCTATGACAGTGGTTCTCAACCTTCCTAATGCCATGACTCTTTAATACAGTTCCTCATGTTGTGGTGACCCCTAACTATAAAATTATTTTTGTTGCTACTTCATAACTATAATTTTGCTACTGTTATGTCTTAGGTGACCCCTGTGAAAGGGTCGTTCGACACCCAAGGGGTCGTGACCCACAGGTTGAGAACTGCTGGTCTATGAAGAATGAATCTGGGAAAATTGTACCTTTGGAAAATCTTTGCTCAAGTTACAAAGAAGCAGAGGGAGATAAAACTCAAACACAGTAGTAGATCTAAACACCTAAGCACTGAGTCTTTACACTATAGATAATTACAGTTAAGTTATGGTAGACTGATTATATATAAGGATCAACTCTTAGAATGAGGACTTGGTTAATGTTTTCTAGCAACAGTTGAATATAATTTGACTTTCATATTTAATTGTATTTCTTTATATCATCAGTTACCCATATTTAAATGCATCTTCCCTATGTGAAACCCTAATCATTCTGGAACTGGTTTTCAAGATTGAGGAATATTCATTTCCACTTTTGGTGCTTCTAATATTATTGAAGGGAACAGGAGAAGATATGAAAAAACCTTTAATTGATTAAATCTGATCACTGCAAGCATATCTCAGGAAAGTTTAGTGAAGAAGAAATTCAAAGTACTGCATCATATTCATATTGGGTTCTACTTTTTTAATTTATGAATTTCATTTTTCTCATATCCTCTTTTTCAAACTGTAAAAACATAGAACTAGCTATATTTTGAAAACCACCATTTGAAATAAGATACAAAAGAAAATTATTTGCTTTTTCTTTTTGGTCAGTGAAAGACGTAAAAGAGAAAATGAAAATAAGAATTTTAAGGCTCAATGAAAACACAAAAACAAAATCAAAATAAAATATAATTTATCCTCTCAATGGGAATCAACTGACTAAATTATAAAAACCATTTTAAAAAAACCTAAGGGAAAATAAAGCCAAATATAAGGCAAATCAAGAATGAGATCTTTCTTAGTGAGAATATCTTTTCAAATATAAGTGGGCTCTTTCATTTTAATTTCTTTAAAAATTTTAGAATTTATTTCCTCATAACACCCCTTTGTTATCAAACTGAAATCAGAGTTAACATCCTATATAAAGTATTTTATAACTTTATAATATATTACATTTAGACATTTATGTGTTATCTGTTCAACTAATGGAACAACAGAATAACCTCTTTATTAGGTAAACATTTACTGAAAACATTTGGTTCACTAAAAAAACCCCAAAATGCTCTAGTGACTTTTTACAAATATCATCTCAATATAATATTCATTTTTCAGAAATGACTTATCAGCTTATTTCATGGGCATGATGAAACAGAAAACAGCTACATTTTTGTTTCATTAATTTCCATGTTTGTGACAAGTTGGCTCTAAAATAAACACAAGAAAATATTAAATTTGACTTAAATTTTCTCCCCATGCCATATTTTTCATACTGAACAATAGAACTTTTTACCTGTATTAACAAGAGCACTGCTATTGTAGAGTGTACCGAGGTGAGGTCCAGAAAGAGACAGAAAGGTGTGAAGTTTGTGGAGGTAATATTTAAACCTTGGCCTCGTAAGCACTGAACGGATTATTAAATTGCCCAAGGAATGTCCAATAAAGCTTTAAGAGAAAAAAAAATGACATTTATACGAGAATATTAGTTTTAAAAACAAATATCAAGGTGATATCACTACACATAGATGTGAAATACTGAGAATTTAAAAATTTCTAGTATGTTTTATAATTATGGTTTGATACTTTGAAATGAGATGTTACATTTCGAAGGAAAAAAATGTGACTGTTGTAGAAAGTTCCTATTATGTAATTTAAATGCTTAATCTATGGAAACAAGGTATTCTATAAAAATTTTTAGTTACAGTTTATAATTGCTTTGAAATAAATACATTTTAAAAGTACTAATACATTGACTAGATGATAAATCTGCCTCCTTAGGCACATGAACAATTATTTACTGAAATAATAATTTAAAGAAAATAATGAATTTGTACCCATAAAATATGACTAACAAGAAATTATATACCTGTTTCTCTTATTCTCTGGTCCACACTCAAAAGTGGGAAAGTTCTTTGACTACTTTCAAAGCACAGGTAAAATGTGCATTTTTCTACTATAAGTCTAAGATCATAACAAAATAATAATATTTATAAAGCACTTCACCTTTATTAAGGAATAGTTTTAGAAAAGCCTTTTTGCTTAGCAAGTATTATTATTATTATTTTTATCCTCATCCGAGGACATTTTTTTCCATTTTTTTGTTCAGATAGAGTGGGAGGGAGAGAGAGGAAGAGAGAGAGAGAAACATCGACGTGAAAGGGACACATTGAGTGGCTGCCACCCGCACGACCAACCAGGGCCGGGGACAAACTGCAACCGAGGTACATGCCCTTAGCGGGGACCAAACCTGGGTCTCTCTGGACCGCAGGCCGACGCTCTAACTGCTGAGCCAAACTGGCCAGGGCAGCAATTATTTTATAATAGATGATATATGAATCCCTGGGGACAAATAACAATGAAAGAAATGAAAGCTGTCTAAACACTAGTTTACACATGTACCTAGTGAGAAGTTCAGGACAAACTTCCCTCCCAAACTGATGTGCCTAAAGCTGTGGGATGAGACTCATGATGGTAACAGTCCTCAATCAACCAGATCAGGATTTTGGATCTGATTACAACTGACAATCTAATCTGAAAGAGGGAACACTTCTGTAGATGAATAAAAATGTTAAAATACATTATTTTTCTCATCATAAAATAGACGAATAAAAATACAAGATTACTGTAGAAAATTTAGTAAACAAAGAGTATTTAAAAATTTGTAAATGAATTCAGAACAAGAAAATAATTTCTCTTCCCCCCAACATACTGCATCTCTCTCTATATTTTAACAGAATTCTGCTTTTTAAAGAACTTCAAATAGATATTTGTTTATCTCTTTTTCTAGTCCCTACTCTGTATTTCAGACTGGAAACAAACTACAAAAGTCTGTAGTATATAGAGCCAGCTTCTTCCTCTAATCTAGTTGCGATATGAAAGTAGGAATGAAGGTTGGGATATTGAAGAAGGAAGATTAGGTTTTTGTTTTTTAAATCCTCATCTGAGGATAATTTTCCATCTATTTTCAGAGAGAGTTGGGAGAGGGAGAAAGAGAGAGAAAGATCAATGCGAGAGAGACACATCAACTCGCTTGCCTCCTGCACGACCCTGACCAGGGGGCTAGGGACTGAATCTCAACAGAGGTATGTGCCCTTGATCAGATTCGAACCTGCAACACTTTAGTCTATGGGCTGACGCTCCAACCACTGAGCCAAACTGGCCAGGGCAAAGATAAGTTTTGACTTTTTATTTAATTCCTAAGGGACTAGAAGATACAAATACTCCCCCCCCCCCCGCCATATATATCCACAATATATGATTAAATAATAAGACATATTGGTTTAATCATCATCTCTTGCTTGTGGAAAACTAATTCACAAAGTAGTCATAAAACTTTGAAAATATTTTTATTTGCTTTACTTGTTTATATATATATATATCTATTTCCCTAAAAGCTTTCTTTTTGGTAACAGCTTTTTAGAGATATAATTTACATACCACACAATTCACCCATTTAAAGTGTATAATTCAATGGTTTTTAATGTATTCAGAGTTGTGTGGACATTACTACAAGACATTTTATAACATTTTCACCACCTCAAAAGTAACTCTGTACCCTTTACTATCACCTCTCTATCTCCCATCTTCCCCAGCTCTAAGCAATCAATAATCTACTTCTGTCTATAGATTTGCTAATTTGGGGCAATTCATATAAACAGAATCATACAGTATGTGTTTTTTCCCTAAAATCTTTTAAGTTTTTCTTTTCTCTTTCAATTAATTTGAGTTGTGGTCTCCTATATTCAGAATAGAACAGAAAAACTATCACAAATTCTTTTTAGGTTTTCTATAATTCATGGAGATTTAAAAATAGTTGTGTAATATTACAGAAGTTACCTTATTTTTGAGACTGTTAGACTATATATCTGAATATATTGTATTATCTCATCCAGAAGGCGGTCAGTCATGCTATCAAAATCAGCAAAAGTATCATTCTAAACAAAAGCAAAGCAGACACATTATATACTGAATATGTATAATCACTTGAAAAACTGAATATAAACATTATTTTTAGTTTAGGCACTAAAGCATGGTTAAAACAAGTGTTTTTTTAAGAGAATTTGGTGAATGTAATATTTACTGTGTTAAAATTAGCAAAAATGAGTGAATTTCTAGGAAAAAAGGTTCAATGTTCTTAACAATACTTACTTCATTTAGTTGTTTAACTGTTTATCCCACTACCAGCATTTAATATATTATTGATAATGATTTAATTAATGAAATATTTGCACAGAAATGTGAAATCTAGAAATTCTGCACATGAAGAGCTCATAAATAGAACTGTGAATCATTTTTACTTACTGGAGATATGCATTAATGTTAAATTTTATAGAAATTAGAAAAATTATTTCTACTGCTACAAGCACTTTATAGGAAGTAAATATTTAGGTAGAAACTAGTACAAAATTATTTGCTTCCACTAAAACACTGTGATATTGTACCTGATTTCTCTCAGACATAAGAAAATCAATTCTTCCCCCAGGCAGTCCAAGTTCAATATAAGTTTTTACTAATCGCAGATCTGCACTGTTACCTAGAAAATAAAGAAAATAAAAATTATATCTAAAGGATGAGATAAAGTAAACAGCATGACTATGTCAGTTGTAAATAGTGTACAAAACAGAGTCCTCAATTTTTATCTCAAAGCTGATTTCCGTTAACCAGACAATACCTTTCAACAGTTTTGTTTCACACTGATTCTTTCCCACCTAATGGTATATATATGTAGCTGTCAGTACTCACTTGGGGAGACTAACTGCTGGCTAGAGTAGCTGTGAATGACTGACCAGGGTATTCCTTACCGTCACTACTCTAGATGATCATTTAATAAACCTTGAATGTATTTTAGTTAGATTTAGTTTAATCCGTTGACTTTCCTTTGGTGGTACTGGTATAAACGGATAGAAATAAAAATCCATTTAAATAATCTAGAATAGTTTATTTTAATTACTAACTTAAAAGTTATCTAGAAATAGAAAATATTTATAATATGAATAATATATAAATATAAAAATCGTTATTATCTTTAAAAATTAGTTTAGTGGCTTTTTAGCTAATTCTTTTGGTTTACTTAATAAACGTCTTTATCAATTGCTGAATTTTTATCCTTCATATATATATATATATATATATATATATGCTCTTTTAGGTATTTCATGCACTGACAAAGATAACCGTTTTATTCCTAATTTTAAAAGGAACATCTCTAGTGTTTCAGTACTAAGTATGTTTCCCACTGGCTGGAAATACGTATGTTTAATCACATTAATGAACTAGAGATAGTGCTATTTAAGGCTTCAAGTTTGGTGCTTAGTTGTCATAACTGGGAATAAATATTGAATTTTATCAATAGTTTCTTATTTGATTTGCTGATACAGTATGTTAATAAATTTCTTTACATTTATTTATATTTGCATTCTGGGAATTAAATCCTATTTGCTAGAGGGTTTTTTGGACATTTAAAAAATTAATCCACTATTTTTCTGCAATGGTGTTACAATTTTATTAAGTATATTTATGTCAGATCTGTTTTTTGGGTTATGGATGTGATATCTTTTTCAGATTTGATAACAAGGTTAGGTTAACTTTAGGAAACAAAATAAGCTGTATCCCATCTTTTTTTTTTTTTCCTATTATCCTGAAACAATTTTTTTAAAAATATGTTTTTATTGAGTTTTTTAGAGAGAAAAGGAAGAGAAAGATAGAAACATCGATGTGAGAGAAACATCCATCGGCTGCCTCATGCATGCCCCCTACTGGAGATTGAGCCTGCAACCAGGGCATGTGCCCTAACAGGGAATTGAACTGGGACCTCTCAGTCCATGGGACAACACTCAATCCACTGAGCCACACTGGTTAGGTTATTCTGCAACACTTTATATAATATAAGGATAATGTTTTCTTGAAGATTTCAAATAAGAATTTTCCAGAAATTCTACTGGACCACGAAGTCTTCCTTGGGGCTAATTCTTTGAAAGTTTTCTTACTGGAGTGGAAAAGGTTAGTACTGGAGGTATTTTATTTCTGGAGAGTGAGTTTTTAAAAAAGAATTTACTATTTTAAACCTGTTTATAGCACTTTTCTAATCCATAAAATCTTTTGTCAATTATAACATTATAAATACCCTGCTAGTCTAGAGATAGTTGGCATATTCTAATATAATTCCTAATCAAGAAAAAAAAAGTTTGTTGAGTAATCAAAATAGCTGTCACAAATCCACAACACTAAGCCAAGTATTTAGAATATAAATTAATCCCTAATTAATTAGTGAATCTTTAATTTTAAAGTATTGACTTTTCTAGTCCTGAGGTGCCCATAAGGTTTAAATAGCATCAAGCTAAAAGGGAACTAGGAAGACTATCAAGGGAGACAAAATGGTTGTCATGAGGTAACAGCTGAAAATCAAACAAAACACACACACATAGTAAGGGAGAAGACAAAAATCCCGAGTTAAAATAAATAAAATGTTGGCACATGGATGTTAGTTCCATATAAAATGTACTTAAAAGTAAATCTAATATTATACTTAGCACAATTAAATACATTGAATTAATTAATTAAAATTCAATTAATTTAAGCAATTAAAATTTTTTTTCAGTTCAAAGATTAAATAAAATGAAATGAGATCTATTAGGAAAAGAAAACACAACTGAGTTGCTTTGGGTACATAAGCAGACGTTTCTTACCATCTAAACCATGCACACAGACAATGAGATGTACTCCCTCTTCAGAACTGTCCTCTTCTTCCATGCTGAAGTACGGGACTGAGGATGCCAGCACAGGAGCATCACTGTACATGAACCCAGGGAGATTAAGTTGCTTCAGTTCTTCTTTTGCCTGAAGGAAGCTGAAGCAAATATTGTATTTAGTTTTTGGAACCAAAAAGACATTCTGCTGAATTTATGGAATTGCAGAGAAGAGGAAACCCAGCAATTATTTAATTTTAAAATAATCAAACTATGTGGGATCACCTAAATGATTTAGAAATCAGAGAATAATTTATTTACTATTTTTAGTACATACTCTGTTCAAATACAACTACTATTTTAAATATGAAACAACTTAAAATATTATTTTAAACTTGAAATTAACTAAGAGAATAGGAGGAGTGGAGTTAACACTTTCTACAAAATTTTATATTAAATGCATAGAAAATTTGGGAGAAGTACTGGAAAGATGACAATCTGATGCTTATCCTGTAATCAAATCTTGTCCTCTTTGCTCCTTTTTAATCTTACATTAATAGAAGGGAAGGAGCTGTTCTACAAAGTGTAACAGTGAGAATGGTAGTTATAGTATTTAGATTGAGCTATTGTATTTTTCTCTAAAAATACCAATAACAAGGAGCAGTACCAGAGGGGGATGTAAATACAATTGGTGACATATAGTCATTTGGAATGAGTGACTATTCAACTTGGGGATTGCAAACATCAAACATTATTTTAACACTGAATCATTTGGACTGATAAAAGTAAAACTCAAGAAGCTGAAGAGAGTAGGATATAATAGGTGAAGACATACAGACCATTTTTCTCATTAATGACTTAGGAACAGTTGAGGTACCCGGGTGGTGATATAACCTTCGGCTTTCTAGCACACTATAATTCTCTAATAGGCTGTTATCACTTACCTGGTTTTACTAGCTTTAGGCACTATAGATTTTAATTATGTGTATAATTAGAATAATTTGGGGATTTAAAAAATCTACTGTAGACATGCCCAGACCTTTCACTCCTGGGATTATAACTCCATTTGGAGTAAGGTAGTAGAATATTTTGAAAACCAGTACCAGGCTACTAAACCTGTCATCTTAAAATTTTTCTGGAATTTTTTCCTAGTCCATGAAATCCCAATTCTAGAAACCTTGACTTAGCTGAGGCAATCTGGATCTGGTAGGTTTAGGAAGTTTCTACTAATCTCTTATTCATTAACTAGTAGCGTCCTTATTTGCTAGATGCACTTATAAAACCTAACTTTTGCCTGGGAGTTAATGGGGCCAAAATAAGGTACTAATAAAAAAAGGGTTTTAACTGCAGTTATTTCATACTTCTAACATAAAACCACCAAAGGAAAATTTTGTCAGGAATATCTAGCTTATAGAACAGGACAATCATACAGGAAAACTACAGGTCTGTCAAACTGTATGAGTTTATTACTCTGTTTTAGATGGATAATCAAAGAAGCACTTTTTTTTTTTTTGTATTATAGAAACTAGAGAACATAAAATATATACGTTACTAGAGAAATATATATATTTATAAAATATAATATAAAATATATGTTTCTCTCTCTGTATTTATTAGCACAATGTTATTGTGCTCCATTACTTACGCTTGTATTTGAGGTTTTGGTGAATTTTCATACCAGGAAACTGATGAAGTGAAGTTGTAAGAAGTGCTGCTTGGCTGCTTTGTAATGGCATCAAATTTACTTTTAGAAGAATACTTAACACTACAAGGAGACTCTCGTGGTGCAGATGGGAAGGACAAACAACCAGAAGTACAGACAGCAGGCATATTTATACCATCCCTCAGAAATTCACTGTTTAATTTTTCAGATTTTATAAGTCTTTCTTCTTCTAGCGCATCTCTGTTTGTATAGTGAACATCTACTGTTCCATCCAAAGCTGAATCTGTTTCTTCGTAATACCCATTTTGAACCATCTGCTGTTGATCCTGCTCTTCCTCCTCATCCTTTTTACCCTGTTCCCACTGAAGATCACTAACTCCTTTTTCAGGAGTTTCCTTCTGAGGGCTAACTGAATTGTCGTAGTTAATAGCACATGTGTCAGAAATATCCGTACTGCTTTGAGAGCCAAAATAATTTTCCACAAGCCCTTGTTTTACCATATCAGGACTGGTTGAAAATGGGTCACTTGTACCCAGATGAGTTCCACTTTTAACCATAGGGGCTTCTGAATGTATTTGTTTGAGATCTAATGCATCTCCATTTTTTCTTTTCACAGTTCTATCTTCACTAACTTCTGCATTAGTAGAAATGGAACCTGAAACAATACAAGGGGAGCCTACACAAACCAGTTTTGAATTTAATGTAACTGCTGTCCCTGCAGAGTTATTAGATTTATCAGGACTCTGGGAGTCTTTACACATAGTGTCCAAGTTAGGTTTAGAGCTGCAACTACTTTTCACATCACTGGAAGTATCTTCATCTGAAAAAACAATTTGTAAAGGGTCTTTAGTGCTTGAATCTAAGAAATTTATTGCTATATTTTCATTGTCCAAATGTCCTGAAAATATGACACTCTGCTGTTGTAAAACAATATTTGACTTTGTACTAGCATCACATTTTGGCAAGTCAATTGTTCCTAGATTTAATACAGTTTTGCTATCACTTAGATGGCACTCAGGTACAACAGATTTCTTAGAATTTTCATCAGGTGACAGTTCATCATCAGAAGGTAGAGAGTTTATGGATGTCAAAGATGACTGTTTTTCACTTAAAGCACTTGTACTCTCAGTACAATGACTTCCTAATGAAAATTTTATATTATAATCAGTTTTCATCAAAAGCTGAGGAAATAATCGTTCATTACTGTAAGGACTTTGCCCTTGCACAACTTCAAACACTACATCGGGGTTTGGATGTGTTGCAAAAGAACTTGGTTCACTTTCAACACCTGAATCTGAAAATCTAGATGAGGCATATGTGGCATTACTATCTGGTAACTTAATTGTATCTCCACTTACTACAACATGATATTCTTTTGTAGAAGAAGCAGGTTGATTACTTCTTAACTTAGCTAATGATTCCCCAACAGAATGACACTTGGTTTCCTGCAAAGCTTCCTTTTCAAGTGTTATGTCTATAGATTTAGATTTACCATTAGATTCTAAGGACTCAAAATTGGGTAGTAGTAAACTATCCACAAGTACTTCATCTTGTTGAACCTCTGTCCAAGGACCTATTTTAACAGTTTTTTTCTCTCCACTGAAAAGATCTTTATTATAGGGATTTACTTCTATTGTTCTAGCTCCTGAAGATGGAATTGCTTGATGATCATGGCAATCGTCTGATGAACTTCTAGTTGCCACATTGAGTTCCACTTGTGTAATTTCACTATCGTCCTGGGAGATATCAAGTTTACCTGAAATGGACAAATTTGCACAAAGATTTAGGCTGCCAGAGTTCAAAGGATCAAACAGGTCTGGTTGCATATTTTCAATATCTGGAGACTTTTGTTCAGTCCTATTAGTTGGCAAATAGCTAGCTTCCTTTTGACTTGTCTGTCTGATGTAGGTCTTTAGGTCAAAATTATATCCACATACTGTGGGATCCAGACCTTCCTTCTGACTATGTGAAGGATTGCCTTCAAAGCATGTAAAGAGATCACTTGATGCTGTACTTTTCAAACATCTGTAGCCTACCAAAACCACAGAATCCTTAGAGTTCTGTTTTATTATTTTTTTTGTATTTTCAGATTTCATTGTTTTCATGAGCTTAGTGACCTTAACCTTGGATTTATTTGATTCTTCATTCTTTCCTTTTAGAGATTTTGTTAGTTGCTTTTCAACTTCTGTATAGCAAAAATTGGAGGCACCAGCAGGTCTGACTTTCACCTCTGGGCTAGAAAGTCCAGCTATAGATCTTTCTTCAGTCTCATATTTATCCATTCTAGTGGACTCTGATCTCTGAAGATTCTGAATTCCCATCCAGGGTGCATCTAAGTCTTTTATCCAAAGAAAAAAAGATTCAGGTTTAAAACAAGGTGTGAGAACTCATATGAATAAGACTATTTTTTCTGACTATAACTTTCTAATATCCTCAAAAATAAATAAAACTGGAGGGGAAAAGAAATGGACCTACATTAGGGAATGGTTTTATGTATATTAGGAAGAATTTACTGAAAATGACACAACAGCTTATATATTTTAGTTAGATTATACTTACCTTCAATAACTGAATCTAAATACCTATCTTCAAAGATTATAGGTAATGAATTGAGATCTCCATCTAATTCACTACATTCAATAGGTAGGGGTGGAAGAGAACTGCAGAAGGAAGTATTTTTGATAGCGGTGCACATCTGTAGATGACTCTGAGCACTGAAAAATATTTCTTAAGTCAGACTGTAATTTAAAAAAATTTACACCTAATTCCACTTTATAGACCCTAAACCCATTCCCCTTCCCCTCACCATTCCTATGCTCCTTCCTCAAGATGTAACCTCCTTATGAAAGAGCTTCTTGTTCAGAGAGAAAAAAATTGGTAAAATGAAAATTACAGTTTGTTGACAATAATTTTATGGTTTGTTAAAAACTTATTTAATTTCTATTATATTCTTCTATACTTTTTAATGTTATTTCAAAGTAACTTATCTATGGTTGATGTCCGAACTTCCTAATTTGCTGAGAACAGCATATAGGAGAAAACACAAATGCCTACTAATGCTTCGATGGTGGTGTTGAAAAAAATGAATTCCATTACTATTGCTATACTTAACACAGATTGAGGAATACAATGAACAGCTATTTAAAACAAGGTGTATGACTTTTTGGTACAAAGAGTTTTTAAAAAAACATTTTCTCATGGAAAATTTCAAACAAATCACAGTAAACAGAATGGTACAATAAATCCAACCACTCCGCTTCAACTATTAACATTTTGCCCTCCTTGTTTTAACTATACCCCTACTCACTACCTATCCCCACATTCTATTATTATTTATAATTATTTTTTTAGGTAAATACACATGTATTAAAATATACAAATCTTAGCCATTTGACAAATAGATATACAATGCAAACTATTTCCATCTACCCAGAAAGTACCCTCACATTTTCCCAAACTCCTAGGCCAAGTTAACAAGACAACTGCTGTTCTGACCATTTTCACCTCAGTTTTGCATGTTCCAGAACTTCATATAAATAGAATACAGTATCTGCTCTTTTATGTCCAACTTCTTTTGCTCAATACAATGTCCTCAAAATATTCTTTAAAGCCAAAGAAAATCAAATGAAATATACTCAGTAGTAGACTAACAGAATGAAGTGCCAGACAGACTACTTATGAAAATCTGTAATATATAATAATGAATGTAAGAGATTCTGACCTTTGGAAATAAAGATGAAACAAGATGGCCAAATAGAAGGCTGGAGCCAGAGCTGTATGGGACTACCAAGGTTATAGATTTGATTATGGGGGGAAGGGAAAAAGAAGCAATATGCTTCTTTATATAAGATACGAGTCTTCCATAAAGTAATTCCTAAGATTAAACCCAGTTTGATTAAATAGGGTCTATCTGATCAAATTCTCCTAATTTCTTCATTTTAAATATTGTATATTCTGTCACTAAACTCTGAAATAGGTATCTAATGTAAAAGAAAATAAAATTATTTTAATTTTGGATTTATGCTACTCACTGAAGTTCCTGGTATGCAACGACAGCTTCTCTTGGATGTTCAAAACAAAAGAATGCCTCAGAAAATCTGCGTACCTGAAAAATTCCAAAAGGAAATATGAATAACATGGCACATTTAAAAACTCAATCAGGCGTGAGATGATAGGGAAAGAAACCCCTTCATTAGGCCTTCTATAACCACTCCTGTGAGAATTAATCTCCCTCCTCAATGTTGCCAAAGCTCTGTATTTTGGTACTGCATGAAATAAAGAAATAATAAAATGTAGAATGAGAAATTCAGGTGTACATTATAGAGCAACCATTTATCTTCCCTGAAGACAGGGATCTGTTTGTCTTATTCACTCTTACATCTCCAGCTCCACAAATAGTGCCCAGAGTACGGGAAAAATAACAGAATCAGAGAGCATTTCCACCATACCAAATGCCAGGCATCTAAACATATGCCAGCTGAACTGACTGACTGACTTACTGGAATTGTGACTTTGGGCATTTCACCTTTGAGCCTTGGATGACTCATTTTCAATTCTGTTTAATACTTGTTCTATATATAAGGTTTTTTTAAAAAAAATAAGTAAGATAAAAACAAACTACTTGAAAGCAGTTTTTAATCTGGAAAATGTATATAAATATAAGCTACTATAATTGTCATTATAAACATTCACTACATTTTTCCTTTAACTGCATATGTGCCCTGGCCGGTTTGACTCAGTGGTTAGAGTTTTGTCCTGTGGACCAAAGAGTAGAGAGTTCGATTTTGGTCAAGGGCATGTACCTCGGTTTTGGTTCATCCTCAGCCCTGCTTGGGGTCATGCGAGAGGCAACCAATTGATGTGTCTCTCCCCTACCCTCCTCCCAACTCTATCTGAAGATAAATGGAAAAATATCCTGGGGTGAGGATTAAAAAAAAATGCGTATGTGAATTGTCTCCTTTCTAATGCGTAATGTTCCTTAGAGTAGGAATTGTATTTTGATGGTTTTTGTTCTCCCCCAAAATATTTATCTTGATATTTTACAGAATCGAGTACTTGGTAAGTACTGGTTGAATCTAATTAAATATTTCTTCCATCATATTTGTATTTTGATTCTTTCATTTCTAATTATGTAAGAAAAGGCTCTGTCAGCTATTGGAGCAATATAAAGCAACAGTAAGGAGATGGAAAAATGTTATGCTAGGAAGGTACAGAAAAAGAGAAATTATTTTACATCTTAAAATTATATTAATCTCCATTTCTTTTCTAAAGGGAAATATCATATAGGTTTCTTTGGTTTTAAACACACAGTGAATTGGTGATATATTTTATTTGTTACCAAGATGTGGCCAGTTGAATTTCTGACTTACTACATTTGTTTCCCTAAGCCGATGAGACTGGGTCTTCAGAGGAACAAGACAAGCAAGGCAGGTGGGGAGAGGAAGGTATGAGGCACCTATGAGAAGGATGCAACTTGTGTCTTTACTTTCAAATGTCCAATTGCCTCTTTCCCCTCTCTAACACTGAAGGTGAGGAGAAAGATCCTGTCTGCCTGAGGTCTATTTCCTAGAGGGCTATAAAATATGAAGAAATGCAGCCTGAAGTCATCTGGATTCTTGCAGCTGCCTGCAAAACCGGCTATTTGCTTTTCCTTTTTTCTTTACCTTTCCTGATCCCTACAATAATTATCATTTCTTGACAGCATTTTACCTACCAGGCTCTGGGCTAAATAAGTACATTATTTCCATTCTTTTATTTAAACTATATAAAAACCCTAAGAGTGAGGAAATGGGCAAAACGAGATTAAGTACCTGGCCAAAATAACATACTTAGCAGATGATAAACATGGAATTCAAATAAAAATATGAGAAATTCCAAATCTTGTGCTCCGAATCGCTTACCTCTTCCCTTCTGCATTAAGACTCCCTGTTACCCAAAAGTCGTTTCTCTCCTCTATGCACCCACACAAAATTTTCTTCCTAAATTTTCTCTGCCATAATTTTTGTGCTGTGGCAATGTGTAATGAATAAGCCTATTAAATGTATTGTGTGGGTATAACTAAGATATGACTGCCACCTGATGGCAACACAGCTTAATTTGGGGCAAAAGGCATACATAGAAACAATGTTAAATTTACAAATTCAAATTTAGGATATGAGTAATATATATTATGACAAGTTAGTGTGCTATTAACATAAAGCAACAATTTTTAAACAGTGTGCCATGAGGATTTTTAAAATGTACAATAGTTGACTATTTAGTAAGGGGCACTGACCTCTTTTCCCTTAGATTTTCAAATAAAAAAAAATTACAACAGCCAATACAACAATAGCCATCTAATGTGAATGAATCAAAATTATACCTATTTTTTTTTGTCAGATTAGCAAAAATATATTTTTTGGTGTGCTGCAGAATTTTGGTAGTTAGTTTGTGTGAAATGAGATGAAAAAGGTTGAAAATCACTGACATCAAGATATTATGTCAATGAAACAGAAAAGAAATAAAAACATGTTTGCAAAAAGATTTATATATTATCTTTATTCATAATAGACCAAAAAAAAAAAATGAAATCAACAGGAGAAAAGATAAATGGACTCTGGCATATCATACAATGGAATACTACTCAGCAAGAAAAAAAGTTACTGATACATCCAACAACATGGAAAATGTAAGAAAACATATGTTCAGTGAAATAAGTCAGACACAGAAAGAATATATATTACTGAGTCTATATATATATATATATATATATGGACTTTAAATATAGATAAAAATTAAATTATGGTGATATAAATCAGAACAAGGACTACTTATGGGGTGTGGAAATTAGACTGAAAAGAAGCATAACATAATTTTCTTTTTTTTTTTTTTTATCCTCACCCGAGGATATATTTTTCCATTTTTTGTACAGATAGAGTGGGAGGGAGAGAGAGGAAGGGAGAGAGAGAGAGAAACATCGACGTGAAGGGACACATCGAGTGGCTGCCACCCGCACGACCAACCAGGGCCGGGGACAAACTGCAACCTAAGTACGTGCCCTTAGCGGGAACCGAACCCGGGTCTCTCCGGACCGCAGGCCGACGCTCTAACCGCTGAGCCAAACTGGCCAGGGCAACATAATTTTCTGAAGTAATGGAAATGTCCTATATATTTACCAGGGAGTTAGTGACATGGGTGAACAAATTTGTCAAAGCTCATTTGATTGTCCACTTAAAATGTGTGCATTTCACTGGATTTAAACTTTACCTCAATAAAAATAAAAATAAACCTTCACTACTTGAAGATAAAGACATATATTCTAACCCCTGATAGGTTGGCACAGTAACCACATCCTACTCCTCTCATGTCCTCGCCCATCTCCTGGCTGTGTGGTTTATAAGATCTATTGTATTTCACTGACACTGGGAGGTAGTCTACTTGCCTATCTCATTTGGATCAAGTTAAAAAACAAATTGCTAAGTTTCCTAGATCATATAATCCTAACTCTGTAGGATTTATTTCTCAAAATTAAATTTAACTATGAACACCATTCTCACTTAGTCCAAGTGTCTTGAGACACAGCCATTTTTGAATCCATGTATAATGCTTTCACAGATTTTATCCCAAGTCATTTGTATAACACTAGCTCTTTTTCATTAGTTTGGTAAGGGTATATTTGTGATCACCGTAACATAACGTAACATTGTTTTTGTTTTTAGAGAATCTTTGCAAAAAGTTTTTACATTGATATTCAACACTTGCCAGTATAAAGTCAAATTCCCAGGGATAATGACTAAATGTGTGTACATATCTTTGACTACTTTTACTGATTTTGTCAGGTGACCTCTAAATGCATCTAAAACATTATCACAGACTGAGGTATTTCAAGCTAACATGCCTTCTCTAAGTATTTTTCAAACAGTGATACAAACTTTGTGATTCCATTCCATGAAATTTTGTTTTGGAATGCTCTTTAAAGTCACTTAAGCACAAAGATTTCTTTCCTTTGCCACCATGTTTCACATTACTCTAATATTTGACGTTATTTCTTTATCTTAAAGATAACAGATTTCTGCCTTTATTTTATGTTCAAAATAAAATTGAGACAGCTCTCAACTTAAAGAGGAAGTAATTTTCTCTTTTTTACTGAAAGATAAATTTTTTCGGGCTTATTTCAGTTAACATAATATTCTCCAGGTCCATCAACACTGTTGCAAAAGGTAAGATTTCCTTTATTTTTTTTAAACTTATCTTTATTGTTGAAAGTATTACAGATATTCCTTTTCTTTTAACGGCCAAGTAGTATTCCATTGTGTAAATGAACCATCGCTTTTTTAGAGTGGGGGGTGGAGGTGGGGAGAGAAGGGTGGGGGATAGGGAGGAGAGACAGGGAGGGAGGCAGAGAGAGGGAGGGAGGGGGGGGAGAGAGAGAGAGAGAGAGAGAGAGAGAGAGAGAGAGAGAGAGAGAGAGAAATGTGAGAGTCACATTGATTGGTTGGCGCCTAAATGTGCCCTTGGGATTGAACCTGCAACCGAAGTATGTGCCCTTGACTGGGAATTGAACCTGTGACCATTTGGTATGCAGGTCGATGCTCTAACTATTGGGCACACTGGCCAGGGCTACCATTGTTTTTGTATCCACTCATCTATTTATGGGCACTTGGGGTCCTTCCAGTTCTTGGCAATTGTAAAGAATGCTGTAGTAAAAATAGGGGTGCATATATTCTGTCAAATTAGTGTTGTTGTTTTTTTCTTTATATTTTCCCCAAAGTGGAATTGATACTGTTGTAATTACCTAGTTATTAATAATAGAAAAGGAGCAAAGGGGAGGCCAGACATTATAGGTATGTCATTTGGGCAGCTTCACCTGGAAGCTGTAATTTTACTTTCCCCAGGGAACCACTGATTCATTCCCTGAAGATCACTGGGGGAGGGTGTCCAACAAAGGGGAGATAGAGGCATGCCCAATGAAGTTGGGGTGACATAGGGAAGGTACTTGCCTGTCAGTCAAATCTGGGGATAGAGGTCACTGACTAGAGTGGGTGGAGCCAATGCAAGCCCATGAAAATGGGGGAATATATAATCCCTTAGACAAAGGAATTCTCTTGGCTCTCTTGCATTTGCACA